AGGCAAAGGGCAGCAGGCTGCCCCTTTCTTTATAATTCCAGCTGCTGTGTCCAAAGACAGCTTAGTAAGATGCTTTCTGTCCCCAAAACATCAGCCCCAACCACTCATCAATTCCACCACTGGCGCTTCACTCTTTGAGATCTAAAAGATTCCGCTGTGGTCTTCTTACAATGTGAAGGGTTGTGGTGGTTATCAACTAAAACATTATCAGTTAAGTCTGAACTGGGTAGAGCTGGCAGCCAGGTCTGAACCAGGGAAGGGGAAGGATCTTACGGAAATTAGAGTCCTGGAAAGAGGTTGACCTCTCCCCACTGTACCTTTGCTAATATCCCAGTGGCCTGGAGGAAAGCATTGGCTATTGAGACACACTTCCTCAAATTCAAATCCAAGCTCTCCACTTACTACCTGGGTGATCTTCAGCCAGTTAATCAATCCTTGAGCCTTAATTTTCCCATCTACAATTGAGGTTCATAATGCCTACCTCAAATGCTGTTAAGAGGGCTAGATGACATCTTGCTGGGAAGCTCCCAAAATGAGTATTTAATAAACGTTAATTCCCTATCCACTAACCCCCCAGGATCAGTACAATATTCTCATCCACTAAGTTTGGAAGGAAAGTATTTTACCTCTCAGACAGTCCCAAATTAAAGGAACAGAAAGTGCTTTCATCAGAAACCACACATGCTAACTTTAATGAGCCCTTTACGAAAACCAGGAGGCACAATGCTCCTCTCCAAGTAGGTTAAAAGATTGCATAATCTTGAAACCATCAGCACAGAGAGCCGAATTCCCCTCCTGTGTGTGTTCACGGGTGTCCTGCTCCCATGGAAAATAGTAATAATGATGATTACACATCCAAGGGTGGCCATTCAATCCATCAGTTAAAAAGATGCTCAACCACCAAAAAACCTTAGTTCATAAGAAATCTCAGGAAACTGCCTATCTTAGCAAAATTCAGAGTAATTCTGAGGCAATTTCAAAATTGATTAATATAAGAGATGGAGTTCAAAGGGTCTGATTAAATTAAGAATCCCAGGAACCTTAGAAAACATCTCACTGCCCAATGTGACCACATCAGCCAAGGCCTAGGTTGCACCTGGGCCCTACTTGGTTAGAAATGTCCATCCTTCTCACCCTCTGGAGTTCAGCATCAGGTCAAGAAAGCCAAAAGGTGAAGTTCAGCCTGCACCCTGGTGATCTTCCTGTTAACCTGGAGGAGAATCAAGAGGCCGCCAGATCAGTGTCTGCTATGAGCCAAAGAGAAATGGCTTTCTCAGGAGTAATTAATTACAGATCTCAGAACAATCAGGGAATCTTCCCCCTCAGTAGTGCTCTCTGTGGCTTTAGCTTCTGAAAGAGGGGCCTGTTTCAGAAGAAAGTACAAACAGAAGGGTCTGCCTCAGTGAGGAAAAGTCTGTATGTGGACAACTAAATTGTGCTGACCAAGGTTGTCAACATCACCTCCACAATGCAAAGGATGCTGCCAGACCTTCTACCATCCCATGCTCCTTGCCTGTACCCTGCCATGCTGGTTCATTCCACTAAGCTAAGTAATGTTAGAAAGATGGACAGGTGTGGTGGTGGATCACACACTGTATTCTCAAGCCAAATAAAAAGACTGCAGGGTTATTTGCATGTTTGGATGATCTGTGTGACTGATCCCATCCTCAATCAGGGATCATTGAGGGTGATGACTAGGCCCTAGAAAATTTTTCTCTCCTTTTATTGTTTAAACAACCTGCTGCCTAAGAGGTAAAAATATTCCACCTAGCCAGATTTAAAGTGAGGGAGTACATATAATACCAGATTCAAGGTGAGTGAATACATCTATGACCAAGTACTTTACATAATAAATGTCAGCTATCATCTTCCTCTTTGGGACATATGCATGCCACCCTACAGTTCACTAATCCCTGTGAAGAGAATCTATAATCTATTCCACCTAGGAATGTGCATTTACTCACACAGAATCCCTTTAAACACTTTATACACATTGTAATAAATCTGTAACTACAGCCAAGCCAACAAATCTCTGACATCCCTCATTCATAAAATGGTCTTGAAATACTTGTCTTTAATTTTACAGAGGCAATATAAGAATTAATAAGGATATGCTACAAAACACTTTGATCCATTCATAGTTTTCCATACAGTTTTATCTCTACCCATTGTGGGAAAGCGCACCTCTAAACCCACATTGGACTTCCTCAGAGATTTCTGCCTTGGGGTATCACAGCTCTACATCACTCACTAAAGAGAAAATGTTACATTAGCTTTAGGCTACGTTCATTACCTGTCCTGTCCACCTCCTCTAACAGCATCTTAGTCCTTCCTGGGCAAACAGACACGATTCGTGGCCATTACCAAACTATTTTTAAAAAACAGGATTTTCTTTCCCCAAAAGACTACCCCCCAGTATTCTGCCCCCAAACAAGTATTATTTACCAAACATCAGAAAGTGATTCCAAAGAATCTTAATAGGAGAAAAGGAAAGGGGAGGAAAAACAGAATTTTAAGAGAGTTTCATACTAAATATCAAATAATAAAAATATACCTTTGTGTTTGAAGAGCCAAGTCATACAAATACGTAAAAGCAAATAAATTGTTTCCAGCTGTAATCAGCGATAATAACCCAAGTACGTGAGAGCATGAGAAAGATGATCAGTTTCCTTTTGAGGTTACATGATAAGCAGCAGCTAAGCAGCCTTTTTCTCTAAGAACTCAGCGTCTGACCGCGTGGCGGAGACCAGACCTCTGCCGGGGCCCCCTTTATAGCGTTGGCTTTCTGGTTCACGACCCAAAGGAGGAGTGGGGGCGGGGGAAGCTAAGGGCCTGTTTTCTAAAATACAAAATACGGTCATCCTCTAGTCCCAACGCGGCTGCGTGGGCACAGAGGAGGAGCAGAGGAGGCGGGAGGGGGGCAGCAAGGACGAGGTTCGTGGACTTTTTCTGCATACTGGAAATTCCCAGACTAAAAAGGTACCGAAGTCCCGGACATTCCCCTCGGGGGCCGACTCCAAGACCCGGACTGGAACTTGGCAGAGGATTCTGCGGCATAATTTACAAACCAATGTTTTTTCTTAAGGATGCCTTTTAAAAATGTCTCAGTTTGCCCACTGCCGGGTATTAATATTGCCTCATTAGATCCACCTTCTGTTTGGATTTCGTTTTTTTTTTTTTCTGT